AGTACTCCAAACTAGCGAAACAGAGTTATTTGCATTTTATGGACCGAGACGTTTCATTATCGTGTTCGAGATAGCCCGCCATCGTCCCTGTCCTGAGCCTCGTTGCCCCTCGTAGATGGTCACAGGTCACGTTGTTCCGATGCCCATGTTCTTGACTTCACTGCAGAGAAGGTTGTCAACACTGCATCTTCCAAATCACACGACGTATTGTTTCCAAATGATATTTTACGAAGATAACTAACTAGATGGCTTACTGAACCCGGAGGTTCATCACCGAATTAACCAAAGCCCTGTCCTGGGCCAACAAAATCCAGTCTCCTTCAACTCCTGTCTCCCATAGATCCCGCCTGAGATTATCCTCTCATCATCTAAACATCGCAAGATGTGGATAGTAATATTTTTAATAATGATACCCGACGGGGGCAGAGGATTTTTCGTCTAGCCTCTGCGTCCAGACCGGCTCTGGGGCCCACCCACCGTCCTTCCTTGGGGGTCCTCTCCCGGGGATAAGGCGCGACCCTGTCGTATCCCTGGCAGGGAATCGATGGACCCTGGACTCCCCGCGTCAGGATACGAACTGAAGATTAGCCGAGCAGTTGCTAATTTGATCAGGTGGCCTCGGAGCTACTGACTAAGGCAGCGTTTAAGGGCGAAAGCACAAGAACAATCTTCAATCGATTCCTTTATTACGAATGAGATTAAAATGAAGAAGGTGACACAGAATTCCTGGGTTTTTTTCCTGTACTCAGTGGGTCCAGGTTTGGGTCTGAACAGGACGGCCAAGAGAAAAACCACTGTTTCTGCCGAAATACGAACACCGGTCGTCCAATCCGTTGCCGGTCACTTCACTGACTGCTATCCTCCCATCGTGGTTCATACTAATATTTGATATAAGTCTGGAACACTTCAAATTTATTTTGATTTTACGGATTAATCATGTAGCTTCTACAGCGTTCCATCTGAAAACTCCTCCAAAGTACACGACGTAGGGAGCATGGATTAAATTCAGCCTCCAGCGGCTTCTGTAAACAACGGACGTGGAGTAGCAAAAACAGAATCCGGGGTTCGATTCGCTCTACGCGTCCTTTCAACTTTTGGTCGCGTTGTGTCTGGAGGAACTGCTCCCTTGGATGTGTCCTGAGCCCCTGCTCTGAGAGTTGGGTTAGGAGCGCGATTTGACGTAACCCACTGACGCACGCATCCCTGATTCGACACGAGGAGCAGCGCTGAAATCTCGATGAGATCAATTAACATTCTACTGATGCAGTCGGTTAATTTTGGCATCACACGAAGAGCTGTGTGCATTTGTTTCCGTTGTCTTCTGAAGTCAAGTTGAGTGCAGTGCATAATGGAGACAGTAGTTATTAAAGTGTGGAGCGCGAGTCAAATTGGGCTGAAACACTGGTTCTGCTTTAATGGTTGGTCAGTTCGTGCCTCAAAGCAACGTCGCTTTTGGCGCTTCGTTGTAGAGTTTCTCAACCTGTGTGCCGCGACGCGATCTTAAATATGCTACGACATTTTAAATTCAAGTTGGATCTTGGTTTACAAGTGTGTTAATATTAAAGGTCTCATTAGCTTGTGTCTTCGTATCTGTGTCAAATTTCAACTGCTTTCGTATTTTAAGTGTTATCCACAGCCTTATCAGTTTCCTCACCACTGGGCAGAGACTTTCTTGAAGAGTTTGTAGTCACTCAGGTTATCAAGAAGGACCTAGTTATATGAAATTAAAAATTAATTTTCGTCTTCACTAAAGCTTGGCCATGAAGCAGCTTAATGTAATTGATAATTTCATAGTAAGATACATTTTATCATTATCCTCCCATTTAATTCTCTCAAGCGATCCTTGAGTAATTTCCAATCACAGACTTCTGTAAGAATTTATAATTTATCCTATGGGTGCTACAAATACCGCCCACCTTCCATTCTTGATTTCGTCAGTTGAACAATGTTAAACGAGGAGTGTAAACGATAGAGACCTTCGTTGCGTAAATGCTTAAAAAAATTGCTCCACTGCGTTAAATGAATATCTGACGTCCTGTTTGCTGCCGTATCACTAGAGAAGAGGGAACATTATGTCGAATCTCTTATATTTTATAAACACGTCTATAAAAATTTATGAAAACCGTTTGTGTATTGGCTTACAGTATACTACAGAAAGGCATTGGTTCGCGTCACTACACATTTGAATAACGCATCGCAGTAATGGTCTAACAAAAGTCCTTTATTCTTCTGTCGTAAATCATAGGTTCAAATATTCTAAATGTATAACTTCTAATGGAAATTTAAGGTTCTCGTGGCGCAGAATATGATGAAGGCTGTATTCTTGATTGTATCGCCGCGTAGTATGATAAATATTTACTATGTTTCAGAGGTGCTTGATGCCACCATCATCAGGGCAAGGAATCGGATTGAGATACATGGACCAGGAAGAGCATTGCCCGAGGCAGTGGGATTTACACGGCGCAACAACACGGAAGACAGCCATCTCAGTGCAACTACACGGTACCGTAAAATACGACCCAAGCAGAGTGCCTTTGTATTCATTCAAGTATATGTTACGTTGAAAAGAATAGCTGATCTGCAGTGAACTGACATACTGACTAACAAAACCAAACACTCAACATTCCTTTAACATCGGACGACACTGAACAGAATCCTCAGGCAGTTCAATCCTTTCCATATCCTCTCTAGTATTTATGTGCTATAGAAATGAATTTGTTACCGCCGCCTTACCGTGGAGCCACCTGTACAACGCTGATGTGTACACCTTAACAAAAGACTACATGAATCGTTCATTTGGGAACAAAGAAAGATATCTTTAAATGAAGAATCGAATAAGTAAACACGTGCCTTTTCCTTCCCAAAGCAGTCATCCAACGTCAAATGTTTTACTTTTTATGCGGCCATATCAGCCTTTCTGCCATCTCCAGGCAGATCGCTTCACCGCAATGAGCATTATTTCGAGGGTATTCAGAGGCTAAGTCCAGGGAAATTTATTTCACTACTGGGAAACAGAAGAATCCAACTACGATTATATCTTTAGGGGAGTATAAAAACGAATCAGATGTTGCATAATAAGCAGGAGGTGCTTTCTCAATTGCCTTTAGTAACACAAGTGTTGGATAAAGCGATGAAGCATGTAAATTGGGCGAAGAACAGATCTTGCGATGTTCTTCATTATGTCAGGATGGATACCGAGACAGTCCCTGTACGTAGGTCACCAACGGTTAACACAGTACGATGAGAGCGACAGCGGTCAATAATTGAATTTTGGAGATACTGGGTTTGAATCATGGCTGTGTTGTTACCTGCTATTTCCTTCATCGTCGTCATATTCTAGTCAGTTAAATATAGTAATAGGTGTTTTTCATATTGTTTTTGAATGTAAGTAGAAATTGCCTCGCATTGTGTCCAGATACGTCATGGCCAGCCACCACCTCTAGCGGGGAATACAAACGAGAGATGAAACTACATATACTTGTTCCAAAGCGGAAGCAAACTTCCACCACGAGTTTCTCCATATGCTAAGCAGTCTTATATTGAAACTTCAAATAAAGTTTATGAAAATGTACTGTAATAACAGTTTTCTCAAAACCCCATTCTCAAACACCCCCACCCACAATCTTTGCTTTGCCTGAGAGAAAGCTTCACACCTTAATAACTCTTTCGCAATACCAACACTTTTATAGGGACCAAACATATGGATGAGCACGAAGTTAAAGTATTCAAATTCTGAATTGTAATTCACCATTTGCCTTAGTTTGGCCATGATAAAGGAAACAACAAGCACTTCTGAAATGTCAAACTTCTACTAGACTACACAAAACGTCCCACAAGTCATTTTTGAGCTAAATAAATTAAAGAACCAATAGAATTATTTTATTAATTAGTCTAAAACAGTCTAATACAAGTACTTGAAAAATTTCTCATTGATGGTTGAAGAACTACAGCCATATTTAACTGCACCTGAAAGATTCATGTTCACAAAAGCCTGCTTAACTCCATCCTGAGCCAGCTACATTCAGTTTGCTCCATTGATTCCCATCTCCCTGAGGTCTTCCAGCAGCCTCTTTCATTCAGGGATCCCAACCAATACATTATATATCTCACCCATCAGTTCAACCAACTTGCGAGACATTAACACAACTTCAGTTAAAAAAACATTTGGTACAAGTATTTGAGAAACTTAAATGACGGTAGAGAAAAGATGGAAGGTAAAAGAAATTGCACAAAAAATATTGCTTTCAAATTGAACTGAAGCACCTGATCAATAGGTTGCAACATTATTTGACAAACACAAAATTCTTACAATACTGACATCCCAAAATGAAACTGGAGTTGACATTTAGTACTCCTCTGCACTGTATTCTTCTCCTTCAAAAGTATCCATGCCGACCTCCTCGTAATCCTTCTCCAGGGCTGCGAGATCCTCGCGAGCTTCTGAGAACTCGCCTTCTTCCATACCCTCACCCACGTACCAGTGAACAAAGGCACGCTTAGCGTGCATGAGGTCAAACTTGTAGTCCAGACGAGCCCAGGCCTCGGCAATGGCGGTCGTGTTGGCCAACATGCATACGGCACGCTGTACCTTTGCCAGGTCCCCTCCTGGAACAACAGTTGGTGGCTGGTAGTTGATGCCAACTTTGAAGCCAGTTGGACACCAGTCCACGAACTGGACCGTGCGCTTCGTCTTGATGGTCGCTATGGCAGCGTTGACGTCCTTGGGTACGACGTCCCCTCTGTACAGCATGCAGCACGCCATGTACTTTCCATTTCTTGGGTCACATTTCACCATCTGGTTGACAGGCTCAAAGCAAGCATTTGTGATTTCAGCTACAGAAATCTGCTCATGGTATGCCTTCGCAGCTGAGATGACAGGGACATAGGTAACCAGAGGGAAGTGGATGCGGGGATAGGGCACCAAGTTAGTCTGGAATTCAATCAGGTCAACGTTCAGAGCGCCATCGAACCGGAGAGAAGCGGTAATCGAGGATACAATCTGGCCAATCAGTCTGTTCAGGTTGGTGTAGGTGGGACGCTCAACGTCCAGGTTACGTTGGCAAATGTCAAAAATGGCTTCATTGTCAACCATGAAAGCACAGTCAGAATGTTCAAGCGTGGCGTGGGTGGTGAGGATGGAGTTATAGGGCTCGACAACAGCTGTTGAAGTCTGAGGTGCGGGGTAGATTGCAAATTCCAGCTTGCTCTTCTTTCCGTAGTCAGCCGACAGCTTTTCCATAAGCAGAGACGTAAAGCCTGAGCCAGTGCCACCCCCGAACGAATGGAAGATCAGGAAACCCTGAAGACCGGTGCACTGGTCGGCCAGCTTCCGGATGCGGTCCAGAACGAGGTCAATGATCTCCTTGCCGATGGTGTAGTGACCTCGGGCATAGTTGTTAGCAGCGTCTTCCTTTCCAGAAATCAGCTGCTCGGGGTGAAATAGCTGACTGTAGATGCCAGTGCGAACTTCATCTGTGAACACACCAGTCAACGTCCAATTTCAACATATCAACATTACACTCTGCTACATTTCAACAGGCATTTCCCAATACAATTAAGCAGGATTCTCCTTTGCTTTACTTATGAGATTTCAAATAAACATACCTACTACTGTGGGCTCCAGGTCCACATAAATTGCCCTTGGTACATACTTTCCTGCCCCAGTTTCACTGAAGAATGTCTTGAAACTGTCATCACCACCTCCAAGAGTCTTGTCTGATGGCATTTGACCATCAGACTGAATACCATGTTCCAGGCAGTACAATGTTGAAACTGTCATCACCACCTCTAAGAGTCTTGTCTGATGGCATTTGACCATCAGACTGAATACCATGTTCCAGGCAGTACAATTCCCAGCATGCATTGCCCATCTGCACGCCAGCTTGCCCAACATGAATTGAAATACACTCACGCTGAAACACAACACAACTTCAGACTACCCTGTCACATGACAAGACATTGAAAGATCCTGACCTTTCATATGTAATAAGCGAAACATGAAATTACAAGAGCTTATGAATTTCTTAAATGTTTTAGAGCCACAGTTCAAACTCACACATATGGAAGCAGTGATTCTTCAGACAATGCCACATCAATGCATGTACAAATATATACAACTCATGCATCACTGGTCACAAATCTCTTCTTAGCAACATTGTAAACTCATTTCATACAGAACCTCACTGATAGTTCCAAGTTCATAACAAATTAATTCCAGACTCAACTTTTTCTAACAAGGAAATTTCATCGTTTACTCAAGCCTTGACAAAAAAAATTTAAAACTCAGTGGCAATAGTTCCTGCATTGCTGACATGCAGCAACTGCCACGTGGAAGCAAGATTAATTAAATTTAGGTTACATAACAAAATTATCACACAAAATTAAAAATTCATATTCATACTTTCACATTAATTCGATGCCAGAACTTACATTTTATTAATCACGAGTAATAACGTATTTAGAAGAGGTAGCACAATTCCATTCGTGAAAAACATTGTAATCAAAGAACACAACGAAAATTTCTTCCTTAAAACATCTGAAATGAGCAAAATATAATACTCACCATTGTAGTAGCTAATTTGATGACTTATAACAGAAAAAATGACAGTGGAACCACGGTTCTGGAGAATCTGACGTAAATACGTACTCCGTAACCAAGCGGATTGTGATATGTAAAATCTGAAAACAGATATGGAAATCTCGTACGCAATATGTCCAGATCCATCTCTTACGGTTTTCGAGAGGCGGGCGCTTAACGCGCCAGATGCATTGAAAATTGTACACATTGGTTCATTAAAATTACAATAAATGTATAAACAATTATAATTACAATAAAATACATTACAGATTCTTAAAGGTCCTAATTTACTGATCATTTTACAAACAGATTATATTACCCTTACTCTTACCATTCCTGAGGAATTAAAATTTAAAGGTGACCCGGCGCTGGATCTTACACATCTTCGTAACTAACGCAGGTTTGCCGAATGACCGTTCCGTATAGACGTACGAGTATTTACGTCAAAAGAAGACAAGTCTAATTCTCTTACACGAGTTCAGAAATGCAGAAGAAAACATTAAATGTGATGAACATTAATAATAAATAGGAATCCCTTACCTCAAACTTTGTTCAATTGTAAGAGACCACGATGTCCACCCGCAATGACCAATTTAATCAAAACTAAACAAGAAGTAAAAATTTGGAACTTTCATACACAATATCTTATACAAAAACAAAACTAAATGTCATTTTCCTCTGTAGTTTTGAGAGGCTGCAGAAATAACAAAAATGGGAGAAGCAACTTACGAGATAAAGACACAATGTGATAATTCTCGCACATTCATTCTGTTGTTGCCTCTAAATATTAATATGGGAATGCCAACTTTTAAAGCTCCCTTATACTATATCAGTGTTACAGATTATGAGTTATAAGATAACACAGAAAAAGAAATCCCTTTTGTTTAATCATCTCAAAAACCAAAATTGTGGAAAATGTGTAATTAGTGTAGAACAGTTTCAGTTTTACTCTTCACCTTTTATTTAAACATTTTTCACTCTGATAAATATAGTAAGTTGAGAACTTGACGGAAACGCACGCAGGACTACATGGGTTGGTAGTTCTTGTACTACTATAGCCAGAACTGTAATATGTCAACACATTTAACAAAGTAATCTCATTCCATGAAAATCTATCCAGTGTTCTTGAAGTTGTTACATGAAGACAGGGCAAAGCTAATAAACAGCAACATTTCTACAACTTCATTGCAAGTGCAACTAAAAATGATAAAAGCACAATTTAATCAGCAATTCCTTTTTCCTGAAGACAACCAGATCTTACACATACAATGAACATACACTATTGATAAATAAATATATATATATATATATATGTCCATGTTTACAACTCCCAATAAGCAAATGCAACAGAAGCAAGTACTGCCAAAACTTTTATTTTTTGTTATAGGTGACTCGAAGTCAACGATTTGCAATAACGTTTCCCTTATCACGTCTGCTTTCGTGGGAAATCTCTCTCACACAAATATATGAACACAAGGTGCATTAAAAACTTACCACCCGTCACCATTAGAACAACATAACACACTTACCTCGTACCGTTGTGAGTGATCTTTCTTTAACTTGGTCAACATGTCCAGCACGGTATCTAGCCTCACTACCTTGGTTGATATCAGACAGTTCATTAGCATGCCAGCCTTAAGCTGATGGACTGAAGTCAGATAACCGGGCCAAACCTCCACTGGATGATTTGACACAACAATCTACAAGAACCAATGACTTCCAGTAAAACTATGAAGTTAACAGAGAACTTAAACTATAACCCTGTAAAACAGTTGTGCACACAAGTGTGGCATGTGTGAAATTATAGGTTACATTATGCACTTGGAAATTATGAAGATTATGATTAGATAATGACTTCATCAAAACATTAACCTAGACCAAGGGTGGGGAACCTGTGGCCTTCTAGGTCCTTAAGTGCGGCCTTTTGACTGAATTAAAATTTTACATAACAAATCCTTTTATTTTTATTAATACATTTTTCAAGACGCCCTTAAGGTCACAAATGACGGATACCCATCTAGAGGATCAACTGAAACTGCGGACCTCCATGCTGCAACCAAACATTCAAATGCTCTCCAACAAAAAGCAGACACAACAAAGTCATTAAAAGATTAGTTAACTTTAAAATTAACAAATAGTTTTCATTTTTTGAAATTATTAAGTACATACTAGTTAGATTTTTACAAAATAATGTACGTTTTTAAGTATGTCTAATTGAAGTTTCTTGAATGCGGCCTTCCAACATGAAAAGGTTCCCCATCCCTGTCCTAGACCTCCAAATATTACATCTGTCCGAGAAAAGTATAACCAAGTCAAAACATCTGGTGAGCAAAACAGACACAAGTATCATTCCTGCCAGACACTTTCCTGAAATTAGTTGTACTCTCCTTTTCTAAAATGTTTTGATTGCATTTGCTATAATTTTAGAACAAATCTGAACAGTAGAATCGAAAAGAACAGTGAAAGTATTGAGATGGCGTTACTATAGTAATCGCACCAAATTATAATAAAACAGATAGGGATAGGACAAGAGGTTTTGATGAGATCCCAACGACATACTTTCCTCTAAATGTTTCAATCCACATGGCGAGACGAGCAGGAGCTATAAAATGAAATATAAAATTTGTTTTTGTCCATAATTTTGAGTAGTACAGATTATACGTTAAATGATCAGGCAGTATCAATAAGTAATATATTGTGAGTAGTACAGATTATACGTTAAATGTTCAGGCAGTATCAATAAGTAATATATTGAACACAAAGGCAAGAGAAATATCAGTTGCTCACAGTGGCAAATATGAAAATGACAGCGTTCTGGGATATTTCACCGCGTAGTCACATACAAGTAATTCATTCCAAAGGTGCTTACTGCCTCCATTATCTCCCTGATGACAGAGACAATAAGCACATCCAAAACATCAGTAGAATAAGATATTTGCCAACCCATGCAATGTCTCTGAAGTTTCAATCTGAAATACAATCTCGGTAAATACTTAATACGCGGAAATTAAAGAAAACAATGAGCAAAAGGACATAATGCGATCAGAGAAAGAGCCGAGTATTTTGTTTCGCCCAAAGAGGATTATAATAGCACAGGAGAATTAAATATTGTACCAAACGTGGAATACTCTCCTACAAATTAAGTGATTTTTAAACACTAACTTTATTTCTTGGATTCCCTTTGTTTCTTATGTTCCGACAGCTGACCTTTCAACTTCTGTACCGAGTCTTCATAATTGGCATCATATTCTTGAAAGAACGAACGTGCCTCTTCATTGACTTTCGATATGTGATCTGTCATGAGCTGAACGTTTTCTCTACTGTCCTTCAATTGCTCTCCTTCCTCCTCAACAAAAGGCATCTTTACTACAATATCCACACAATCTTCTTCCAGTCTCGTCAAATTGCATTTAAGAATTTGTTCCTCATTCTTTACTTTCTCCTTCAGTTTCGTCACATCTGCCTTCATATCTTCCACCTCCTTCATGTACCTGCCGTACGCTTCAGAGGTTGGTAAACTCGCGTTCACGGCCTCTACCGCAGATTCTTCCTGCTCTTCTGTACGTGTTCCCATTTCGTTCAGTTTCATTTTTAGATCTGTCCTGAAGTTCTTCGTCTCTTCAACAATTTGCTGTGAGTGAAATAAAGATGTCAGAAATGATGATTAACCAGTGATTCTTTTGTAGGATCTATACTTTCATGGCCACTAAAGTCAATAAAGTCTTCTTGGAAAATAAGCTGCGTCAGACGGCCCTAAGAAAACCGATGTTTTGAGAAATGTCAGTTTCGTGCAACCCCCTGACATGGCTGATTCCCTGAGAAAACTTCATTCAATTATTTTTTGTTGCACTTGATAGGTATTACGCAATGCAAAAGCTATGTGGAGCACTTTTGTTGTTCAGCCAAGGACAACTTGTCCTCTTTGTATACAGGGAGTACCCCATGCCTGATCACTGTACCCGTCCATCAGCAATTTATAGACTGAGCATTGAGAGGGACAAAATGAATGGAATTAAGAAGACAAATCGCGCCATGCTACCATTGCACATCACGTATGTCATGCACCTCATTAATATACTACCAAACCATCAACTCTGGAGTCCAGTCAGCAGAACTGTACTAAACGGGTTCGAACGGCCTATTTCCAAACGATGAAGGTTAATGAATTTGTCTGTCTGTTTCAAAGTGCAATCGCAGCTTCGTTTTGAAGGGAATTAAGAAAAAGATAAAACTCTCACTTAGGTTAATCAGACTTGTAGAGAATTGAACACACATAAAAAAGAGAGAGAGCTAAGGACTGAACTGCCATTGTAGACCTTACCTGCATGATGAGATTAGTATCTGTGTGCATTTTTATAGACCTTATAACGTGTTCTTCAATTATAAAGTAAACAACTTCAAACGCTTGACCCTCGATGTCTAACAGATATAGATTATACGTTTCTTAAGTCACGATTGAGCTTCGAAGGTGGGGACAGTTTGTTTCTCTGAAATAAGAATAATTAAGTGCATGTTAGTGGAATAACTTCTGACATTGCTAAAGCACCTATCCTTCTGCATATTTCAGCATTGGTAACTTTATCCACCCATCTTATTTTCAATATTTTTCTATAACACCACATCTTAAAGGAGACCAATCTTTTCTTTTCTTCAGCCCCCATCATCCAACTTTCGCTCCCATACAACTCAATACTCCAGACATACGTTTTTAATAACCTCTTCCTAGTCTCAATACTGATATTATCCGAGGTCAATAGCCTTTTCTTCATATTGAATGATTTTTTGCCTGGTTGATTCTGCAGCCTACCTCTCTCTTGCTTCGAACATCCTTAGTGATCTTACTCCCCAAATATGTCCTCTATCATCCGGTTGTTTACAGATATTCGTGCATGCGCGTCTCCATCCTTGTTGCAAGACATAACTTTAGATTTTCCTTTGTTTATATTCATATTGTACTCCTTCCCCATAATCTCTTCCATCTTATTCAGAATATTTGTGGGGTCTTGTTTACTCTCTGCCAATATTGCAATCGTCTCTCCTTGTATCTTCACTCCTACAGTGATTTCATCTCTGACTTTATCAAGGGAATTCTGTATATGAGCATTAAACACCCATTTAACATTGTCGAATGCTTTCTCAACATCAACATATGCAATAAAGGTTTCCTTGTCCTTCTCTACAATTAATCTCAAAGCTAGAACTGCCTCTGCCCTTCCAGAATCCAAACTGGTCTTCCGTCAGTCTACGTTCGATCTTCTTTTCCATCCTGCGAAGAATAATGGTTGTAATAATTTTGGATGCAGGCGTTACTATACTTGGTGTGCGGTACGGCTCGCATGTATTTGCACCAGCTTTCTTTGGGATAGGAACTATGATGCATTTTTCAAAATCTGCGGGTACTTTCCTTTGTACATAGATATCACAGATCAGATCATACAATCTCTTTTTCAGTCTCTCTCATTCCGCCTTGATGAGAATCTCATCAATCCGTGTTGCTTTCTTGTCTTTCAGTGATTTCAATGCTTGTTCAAATCCTTCTTTCGTTATAGGATCGCCAAGAAACGTAAGAAAGATTTTCTGACGTGTCACCAAAGTAAAGTTTTAAATTCCTAAAAAATTTGTTTCTCATTGACCGAAGTTCAACGTAACCACAAATTTAAAAAATCAAGCTATTTCTCAGTGGAATGAGTCCCAAGTAGTAATTTAAACTTGATTTTTTTATTACATTAAAATAGACAATGTAGACCATATTAAACTCTAAGCCACACTGGAAAATATAAAATATACAAGATCGGCGGGTGTTGGATACTTGAGTAATCTATACTGTAATCTAAGGCACGGCAAGTCAATCCTAGGCAAGTCAAGGCAAGTCAAGGCAAGGCAAGGCAAGGTAAGGCAAGGCAAGGCAAGGCAAGGCAAGGCAAGGCAAGGCAAGGCAAGGCAAGGCAAGGCAAGGCAAGGCAAGGGAAGGCAAGGCAATGTAATGTAATGTAAGGTAACGTAAGTTAATGTAATGTAAGGCAAGGTAAGGCAAGGAAATGTAATGTAAGATAACGTAATATAATGTAATGTAAGGCAAGGCAAGGCAAGGGAGGGCAAGGGAAGGCAAGGAAATGTAATTTAAAGTAAGGTAACATAAGGTAATGTAATGTAAGGCAAGGTAAGGCAAGGAAATGTAATGTAAGATAACGTAATATAATGTAATGTAAGGCAAGGCAAGGCAAGGGAGGGCAAGGGAAGGCAAGGAAATGTAATTTAAAGTAAGGTAACATAAGGTAATGTAATGTAAGGTAAGGCAAGGCAATGTAATGTAATGTAAGGTAGTAAGATAATATAATGTAAGGCAAGGCAAGGCAATGTAATGTGATCTCATACAGACATAAGTTTTGTATGTCAGATTCCTACAGATCACGAGATATATGCCTTTGAAAAATTGATTTTCGAATACATTACATTTCCTTTCCTTGCCTTGCCATACTTTACATTACTTTACGTTACATTACATTACATTACCTTGACTTGCCTTGCCTTACATTACATTAACTTACGTTACCTTATTTTACATTAAATTGCCTTGCCTTGCCTTGCTTTGCCTTTCCATGCCTTGACTTGCCTTGCGTTGTCTTACATTACATTACCTTACGTTACCTTACTTTACATTACATTGCCCTGCCTTGCCTTTCTATGCCTTCCCGTGCGTTGCCTTGCCTTACATTATATTAAATTACTTTACATTACATTACATTGCCTTGCCTTGCCTTGCCATGCCTTGCCTTGCCTTGACTTGCCTTGCTTTTCATTATATTACATTACGTTACCTTACATTACATTGCCTTGTTTTGCCTTGCCTTGCTTTGCCTTGCCTTACCTTGTCTTGCCTTGCATCACATTACCTTACGTTACCTTACATTACATTACATTGCCTTGCATTGCCTTGCCTTGCCTTGGCTTGTCTTGCTTTACATTATATTATCTTACGTTCCTTTACATTACATTACATTGCCTTGCCTTGTCTTGCCTTGCTTTGCCTTGAATTGCCTTGTCATGCCTTGCGTTGTCTGGCCTTGCCTTGCCTTGCCTTGCCCTGCCTTGCCATATCTTGCTTTGACTTGTCTTACCTTGCTTTGACTTTTCTTGCCTTGCCTTGACTTGCCTTGCTTTGCCTTTGCCTTACCTTACGTTACCTTACATTACATTACATTCGCATTGCCTTGCCTTACCTTGCATTGCCTAGCCTTGCATGCCTTGTCTTGCCTTGCCTTGCTTTGCCTTGCCTTACCTTGTCTTGCCTTACATTGCATTACCTTACGTTACCTTACATTACATTACATTCGCATTGCCTTGCCTTACCTTGCATTGCCTAGCCTTGCATGCCTTGTCTTGCCTTGCCTTGCTTTGCCTTGCCTTACCTTGTCTTGCCTTACATTGCATTACCTTACGTTACCTTACATTACATTACATTCGCATTGCCTTGCCTTACCTTGCATTGCCTAGCCTTGCATGCCTTGTCTTGCCTTGCCTTGCTTTGCCTTGCCTTACCTTGTCTTGCCTTACATTGCATTACCTTACGTTACCTTACATTACATTACATTCGCATTGCCTTGCCTTACCTTGCATTGCCTAGCCTTGCATGCCTTGTCTTGCCTTGCCTTGCTTTGCCTTGCCTTACCTTGTCTTGCCTTACATTGCATTACCTTACGTTACCTTACATTACATTACATTCGCATTGCCTTGCCTTACCTTGCATTGCCTAGCCTTGCATGCCTTGTCTTGCCTTGCCTTGCTTTGCCTTGCCTTACCTTGTCTTGCCTTACATTGCATTACCTTACGTTACCTTACATTACATTACATTCGCATTGCCTTGCCTTACCTTGCATTGCCTAGCCTTGCATGCCTTGTCTTGCCTTGCCTTGCTTTGCCTTGCCTTACCTTGTCTTGCCTTACATTGCATTACCTTACGTTACCTTACATTACATTACATTCGCATTGCCTTGCCTTACCTTGCATTGCCTAGCCTTGCATGCCTTGTCTTGCCTTGCCTTGCTTTGCCTTGCCTTACCTTGTCTTGCCTTACATTGCATTACCTTACGTTACCTTACATTACATTACATTCGCATTGCCTTGCCTTACCTTGCATTGCCTAGCCTTGCATGCCTTGTCTTGCCTTGCCTTGCTTTGCCTTGCCTTACCTTGTCTTGCCTTACATTGCATTACCTTACGTTACCTTACATTACATTACATTCGCATTGCCTTGCCTTACCTTGCATTGCCTAGCCTTGCATGCCTTGTCTTGCCTTGCCTTGCTTTGCCTTGCCTTACCTTGTCTTGCCTTACATTGCATTACCTTACGTTACCTTACATTACATTACATTCGCATTGCCTTGCCTTACCTTGCATTGCCTAGCCTTGCATGCCTTGTCTTGCCTTGCCTTGCTTTGCCTTGCCTTACCTTGTCTTGCCTTACATTGCATTACCTTACGTTACCTTACATTACATTACATTCGCATTGCCTTGCCTTACCTTGCATTGCCTAGCCTTGCATGCCTTGTCTTGCCTTGCCTTGCTTTGCCTTGCCTTACCTTGTCTTGCCTTACATTGCATTACCTTACGTTACCTTACATTACATTACATTCGCATTGCCTTGCCTTACCTTGCATTGCCTAGCCTTGCATGCCTTGTCTTGCCTTGCCTTGCTTTGCCTTGCCTTACCTTGTCTTGCCTTACATTGCATTACCTTACGTTACCTTACATTACATTACATTCGCATTGCCTTGCCTTACCTTGCATTGCCTAGCCTTGCATGCCTTGTCTTGCCTTGCCTTGCTTTGCCTTGCCTTACCTTGTCTTGCCTTACATTGCATTACCTTACGTTACCTTACATTACATTACATTCGCATTGCCTTGCCTTACCTTGCATTGCCTAGCCTTGCATGCCTTGTCTTGCCTTGCCTTGCTTTGCCTTGCCTTACCTTGTCTTGCCTTACATTGCATTACCTTACGTTACCTTACATTACATTACATTCGCATTGCCTTGCCTTACCTTGCATTGCCTAGCCTTGCATGCCTTGTCTTGCCTTGCCTTGCTTTGCCTTGCCTTACCTTGTCTTGCCTTACATTGCATTACCTTACGTTACCTTACATTACATTACATTGCCTTGCCTTGCCTTGCCATGCCTTGCCTTGCCTTGACTTGCCTTGCCTTACATTACATTAACTTACGTTACCTTACATTACATTACATTCGCATTGCCTTGCCTTACCTTGCATTGCCTAGCCTTGCATGCCTTGTCTTGCCTTGCCTTGCTTTGCCTTGCCTTGCCATATCTTGCTTTGACTTGTCTTACCTTGCTTTGACTTTTCTTGCCTTGCCTTGACTTGCCTTGCTTTGCCTTTGCCTTACCTTACGTTACCTTACATTACATTACATTCGCATTGCCTTGCCTTACCTTGCATTGCCTAGCCTTGCATGCCTTGTCT